AACCTCATTGAATATTCCCAGCCTACTATTTGCAGACGACCTGAAAATATATTATAAAATCGACGACATTATTGACTGTCAACGTGTACAACATGAATTAGATGTAATCAAACTTTGGTGTAACGATAATCGTCTACAATTGAACGTATCCAAATATAAAATAATATCATTTACAACAAAAAAGCGAACTTTAATATACGAATATTCAATCAACAATACTACAATCAACCGCGAACATGAGATAAAAGATCTTGGTATAACATATGACAGTAAATTAACATTTACAAAACATATGAGGAATATGACTGCTGATGCAAACAGGATGCTTGGAATCATTAACAGAAATGGCAAAAACTTCAAAAGTATTATCACCTTGAAATTGCTACGTATGCCAGATCTAAGTTATAGTTTGGTTCTCTGTTATGGAATCCATTTTACGACTAACAATAAACATCAATTGAGAGCGTGCAGAGGATGTTCCTTGAATACTTATATCTACAAGTTAATGGACAATACCCCACGAAAGGCATCGATCATAACATTTTGTTGACACGATTTGATATGACATTTTTGAAATATAGGAGAATTATCCTTGGTATGAAATTCCTGCATAAATTACTTAACAACAATATTTACAATACGGTTTTTTTACCAGAGATCAATTTCTCAGTACCAAAAAGTGAAGGTTGACACAATCTGAAATTCTATTGCGAAGCATCACGCGCAAAAGTTATGCTCCGATCACCATTGAATTTTATGTGCAATAGCTTCAATAAAATATGTAAACATTTCGACTCTCTGATCGCCTTGAAATCATGTATCCACATTCACTTTTAATAAAACTATAAATAATGTTTGTGTCAGTACTGCTACATTGCATGATTCGTATCTTTTTGTGTTATATACTCAATTTTTCATTCCTCTTTTGAAATTCTACGTATACGAATTTTTTATATATATACTTTGTTTTAGCATTTACTTCTATACCATTATTCTTAATGGTATTATACCATTATTTTTAATATTTATTTCATATATGTGTAACTGTAACTGGGTACTCCTGTTGGAAATAAATAGCTTTTTTTATAATATGTATTCAATTAACATTTAATGCTTTCTCGAAACTAATGACACTGTGATAAATATTTCTACTGAATGTCATAATCATATGAATTATCAAAACTATATCTGACCTGAATGTTTGTATGGATTGAAATCATACAGCAATATTTCTCATAAGTCTCAAGATAGTGATTGATGATTATCAATCAATATAATTTTCATTATTTTTCAGAAGGACCGACGGCAAAACCAACTGGTGAGTAAATTATCCATACTCATATCCGAACCTCACAATAATTTCTGTTAACTAGTTCCAACACATAATAAAATGACATCACGGCATGTCCATTCTCATTCACTTTGTTTCAGTTCCAACTCCTGCTACAACGGTAACAACTCCTAAAACAACTACAACTACCGGTAAGTATGAGCTAATACTCAATTTTCAATCTATGATGAATCAATTTTTTCTTCAGTCAATCCACGTCCAGATCAGGATTGTCCAGCGAGTGGATCGAAACAAATCATGTATCCTGCAGACTGCAGCAAATATTATCAATGTGAGAATGGGAAAAAGGAATTGAAAGATTGCCCCGAGAGCTTGTTTTTCAATTTCAATACTGGATTGTGTGATTTCATCGACCAAACAAATTGTCGTAAGTATTCTGTATTCATAAACTGCTTCGAAACTATATTTTTTTTGTAAAACTCCCTTTTAGACAAATTCTCCCAGTTGGATACACTTTTTCAACAATGGCAAACTTTGATTTCAAAATAAAACTTCATCAAAAACCTGCTTCTATTTAGGCATAATAATACAAGTTTCTCTAGTCGTATTCAAGTTACATTTTTTTACATCGAGTATTGATATTGGATTATGTAATTTCATTGACGAACCAATAGGTATTCTATATTCATAAACTCATTGAACTCTGTTATAGACTTTACACAAATAATTTCTATTTTTTTCTGGAAATCGCATCAACATCTTCCTGCTTATAAGTATAGATCAATGAAAACATTTGAATCAAACTAGTTCATTAGTAGCAGATGCAACCGTTTGATATTGTATTTTATAACGATGTTATAAATGACATTTTAAGCAATATCCACAGACCAGTTTTTCATATGAGAAATAACAGAAATATTCATCAATGCATATTCCTCAATGAATATTTTTTTTCTGATTGAAACTGAAACAAAATAAGTAACAGAAAAACTTTCATTATATTTCAGAAAGTCCAACTGCAAAACCAACTGGTAAGAGAAAATGTCAATACAAAATTGAATGTTTTTGGGTGAGAAGTACGATGAAAAGGAAACTGAACTTTTTTTAGGTTCGGATCTTAGACTATAATAGAATGTTTCATTCATATAATTTATTTCAGTTTCAAGTCCTGCGACAACGGTCACGACTCCCAAAACAACTACCACTACGAGTAAGTATGGGTTTATATCTCCTTCTCAACTTATCGTAAATGAACTACTCTCTCAGTCAATCCACATTCTGTTCAACATTATCCAGCAAGTGGATCTAAACAAATCATTTACCCCAGTGATAACAGCAAATATTATATCAATGCAATAATGGACATGAAGAACTGAATGAAAGTTCTGGGAGCTTATTTTTCAATGTTGATAATGAATTATGTGATTTTGTAGACCAAACGAATTGTATAAGTATTCTATGTAACGTTTGATTTTTTTTGAGGATATTTTCTCACTATTTTTCAAAGTCGTAGCATCATTCCTCCAAATTCTTCAATTTGCAGAAAAACAAAGTGGTCTGGTTAGAGTCTGCGGAGTTTGAAGACAAAAATCTCGATATTTTATCCGTTATTTGTCTTACCAGGAGCTGAAAACTCCACGACGAATATCATCTTGTTCTTATGGTTAAGAGGAACTACGTAAGACTCATTAGCTTGTATGAGTCTATCTATTTGAAATGAATAGTTTTAATGAGTTCGGTACATCTCAACATCTCATTCCTTACAACCGATGTCTCGACAATACAGTAAAAGTACCCTAGATGGTACTCTTAGGGCCGCGGTATGTCGATGGATATAGGCTGAAATCGAATACGCTGGACATGCTGACAGCAAATATGTACAGGGTGTAACTGAATAAGTGTAAAGCATTCAGAGAGGTGATTACTCATTGCAAAAATATAGGATCTTTCATATGAAGAAATTTCATTGGAGCATCCCTTGTTAAGATACAGCCCCTTAAAGGAGGTATACAAAATTTGTATAACAATTTTTTTCACAAGCACTAAAAAAGTTACAATATCGAAATTAACTTGACGTTTTGTACTACCAAAAAAAAACTTAGCCAGACATTTATTTGGTTTACCCCATGGTTGTAAGGGGTGGAAAACGCAACCCCTAAAAGTTATTTCCAATGTACCTTTTTGTCTTATTATCTGTTTACCATTCAAAAATTTATTTCCGATAGCCTGTTTCATTCTAAACAAAAAATGTCTTTTGGGTTTTTTGCCCAAAATGAACCAGTTCGCAGCAAAAAATTATTTTAGGAACAACTACAGAGATACATCGTCATAAATGCGAAAATACGAAACTGATCTATTGAGTAGGTCGCTATTAGCGATGGTAACAATTAAATTGGTATGACGCTGTCAGTTTGTGAATTTTCGAAATTGAATTAATACTAATTATGTGTTGTTGTTCTGTTCTTAATTTGTTACTTTGATAATTCACTTGTTATTAAAATGGCATATACAAATGAGGAAATATCTGATGCATTACGTTTACGGTCTGTCGCAGGGGCATGGGTTAGAGACTTCTAGAAGATATGCTGAAATGTATCCTCAACGGCAGCATCCTTCACATAGAATATTTGCTCGGCTTCATCAACGATTACGAGAATATGGTTCATTCGACAAAAGAACGCAGGATTGTGGTCGTCATAGAGAAGTATGAACACCACAGCTTGACGAAGCAATAATAAATTTGTTTGAAGAATAACCTACTACCTACTACTACTACTACTAGAAAGATTCCTTTCCAGCTGAATGTTGATCATATGAGGGTATTTCGAATTTTAAATGAACAACGCTTATACCCTCACTATCTGCAACGAGTACAGGCACTGTTACCGCGATACTTTCCGATAGTAAAAGGGATACTAATCTAACCTAACAAATGGCAGAATTCAACGTCTGCGCATGACGAATCAAGGCAGAAATTGCTCTTCCATCCAACCAGTTATCAATGTCCTTGGGATATTATAACTGATAATTCACTTGTTATTAAAATGGCATACACAAATGAGGAAATTGCTGATGCATTACGTTTACGGTCTGTCGCAGGGGCATGGGTTAGAGGCTTCTAGAAGATATGCTGAAATGTATCCTCAACGGCAGCATCTTTCACATAGAATATTTGCTTGACTTCATCAACGATTACTAGAATATGGTTCATTCGACAAAAGAACGCAGGATTGTGGTCGCCATAGAGAAGTACGAACACCACAGCTTGAGGAAGCAATAATAAATTTGATTGAAGAATAACCTACTACCTATATACTACTGCTACTACTAGAAAGATTCCTTTCCAGCTGAATGTTGATCATATGAGGGTATTCCGAATTTTAAATGAACAACTCTTATACCCTCACCATCTGCAACGAGTACAGGCACTGTTACCGCGATACTTTCCGAGCCGTCTTGAATTTGTGACTTTCTGAAGACGATAGAATTCACAGACGAATGTAGTTTTTCTCGGGACAAGATTATTAATTTTCATAATTACCACATATGGGCTGATGAAAACCCTCACGCTATTGTCGAAACTTACTATCAAGAACAGTTTTCTCTTAACGTGTGTCTCGGAGTTATTAGGGATGATTTAATTGGGCCTCATTTTCTACCTCCTGGATTGAATGGTGAGGCATAAGTTCAATTTTCAGAGAAGTGCATCCAGTACTGCTGGAGGAAGTTCCTTTCGGCATCAGAAAGGATATGTTTCTTATGAATGATAGGGCTCCCGCCTATTTTAGTCAAGTAGCACGTCAGCATTTAACTGAAACATATGCAAATCAGTGGATAGGTCGAGGAGGACCACAGAACTGGTCCGCTCGATCCCCGGATCTCAATCCTCTCAATTTCTCTATTTGGGGCCATTTACAACATTTGGTTTATCGTACTCCTGTTCGCGATGTAGAGGACTTAAAAAACCGCATCATTGATGCGTGCAGGATTATCAGACAGACTCCAGGAATATTTGAGCAAATATGGCTCAATGCGCCGACGTCTAGACGCATGCGTAATGTCTGAAGGTGGCCATATTGAACATTTACTATGATTTCTATATATTGTGTGTTTTGTTATTAATGAATGCAGGTTCTAACTACAAAATAACAATAAACCAGTTCGCATTTATGCGATGTATCTCTGTACTTGTTCCTAAAATAATTGTTTGCTGCGAACTGCTTTATTTTGGGCAAAAAACCCCAGAGACATTTTTTGTTTAGAATGAAACAGGCTATCGGAAATACATTTTTAAGTAAACAAATAATAAGACAAATAGTTACATTGGAAATAAATGTTAGGGGTTGCGTTTACCACCCCTTACAACCATGGGGTAAACCAAATAAATTACTGGCTAAGTGTCTTTTTAGTAGTACAAAACGTCAGGTTAATTTCAATATTGTAACTTTTTCAGTGCTTGTGAAAGATCCTATCTTTTTTTCGATGAGGAATCACCTCCTTGAATGTTTTACACTTATTCAGTTACACCGTGTATATTGCGGTGGGGTCAAACACCCGCTGCAGGCTCTACACTTTGTGTTAGGAACCTTTATACACATCAGGTTGCTAAGATGTTGAAAGCAGGCCAATGCAGGCAATGATAAAACTCTGAATTTTCGATTCGAACAAACTCGACCTGAGGAAAGCGAAGGCCAAGTGTATGCACTGGCATATCCAAGTGTTGCCGCAGAATTGAAGTGATATTAGCGGCTTTCATTTCGGACTTTTGGTGAAATTGGTTTCGAATTGGTAACATAGTTGTGATCACAGAGTTGTGATCATTCAGTGTCGAAAACTAACCGCTAGGGCAGCTGCTATGAAGAGAAATGCTCAAATTCCTGTTCCATGGCCTCCCTGTTGTCAGGGAATGTACAACCATGGAATGGATTATTTGAGACGGCTCTTTGAGTCGAGTTGATACATCTCCCCTACTCTACCCACCTATTCCAAATAGCAACCATTTTCGTAGCAAATCTGTCGGAGTTTGTGCTACGGATAGTGTTCTTCACTGCTGTTACCTTTTGTGGCTGGGCTTGTTTTACCCTGAGGTAGATTATATTAGATTAGATTGTCGGGGAGCTAGCCCATGGCCTGATTCACTGCGACCTTTTCAGATATATTGTGATGCTCCTTGGTGGTGAGAACTCATTGATTAACTTGATCTCTTTAATGAGACTCTATAGCCTTGACACTGACCCCTTCATATAGCTGGCAGTCTCCAGTTTCTCTTCCCCGCATCTTGCGTGTCTCAGCCTTGCTAACACTTCGCATTCACAGAGCTGTTCTGTTCCTTATTTTTTTTGACAGAACCTGCATTGGGTTTCTTCTGTCGGACCCATGTTGCTCATAGGTTTCCTGAGTCGGCTGTGCCCCGTTAGTAGACTCACCACTACCCTAACAACCTTACGGTTGTGGTTTAGCAGGTCTTCCGTGAATCTAGGCGATGGTTTCTTCATGAACTCTTTCACCTGCTTCATCCCTGGGAGCTTATTCTACCAATCTATTGATTTGGCTTGCATCCATGAATTCATGGATGTCTTTGTACATGCTTTCGCTACCCCGCAGAAGGGTAGAACATCGGCCTCCTCATTGCCCTAGTGACCCTCATGTCCAGGTACCTGAGCTAGAGTGACCATATTTTGGGTACTTAGCTCATTGAGTGTGCTCAGATAGCTTCCCACCAGTCTCGAGAATACTTGAAATGAGCTGAGCGACCTAATTGTCCCCTGGCTGTCGGAAAAAATGATAATGGTTTTATTTGTGAACTTCTGCCTGTTTATTTCCCCTATACAGTGTTCGATGGCCTGGAACACAGTTTCATTATGTCCGAGGCTCAGTGCCTTTGCTCTGCCTCCGTATATACTGGCTCTCGCTCCTTCTTGGGCCTTTGAGTTATCTGAATACCAAGTTTCTTCCGCTTTTACCGTTTTGCCAGTTCTCTATACATGGTATGATGATTCTGAATTCCTTTTGAAAGTTGTACTGCAGAACTGTGTTATCCACGGGCATTCCTAGTTTTGGATCTGTACAGCGTAGGTGAGTCCGTGCTTTCGAATGCATAAAAGAAATCCTAGGACTTCCTTACTTCATTTATTTCATTCTAGATTGAGTACCTTGATGGTAAATTGAATGGAAATTTCAATTCACATGCTTTTTATTTTGAAGAGTCTATTTCATTGGATGGAATAAGTCTATCAGGAATACTTAATGGGAAGATTGACGTTATTTTTTATCGATTCTAGTCTATGAACAAAAACCAAAATTCACAAATGAAAAATTTGTTTATTCGCTAGTCAAAATAATAATACTTGAACAACAAGTGAGGACGTTTTCAGGGCCTGATGGAGTTCTTCAAACAGCATTTGAGCCTTGTTCAAAATTGATTCTATGATCAACACCTTCACGCCTGGGGAAGCCTCATATTTCAATAGAGATTCCAATTAAACTGAATATTTTATAATGATGATTTTTGTTCCAGCATCCTCATCCCCTGTTTCTACTACAACACATTCACCGCCAACAACTATAGGTAAATATTGATTTAAAAAAAATGGTGGTGTGACAAATTTTTTTCCTTCCATTGCATGTTGAATCTCTTTCCCACAAGCTTATTTTTTTCTTATTCGTTCTGATACAACAAAGTATCTCACCTTTCCCAAAAAACTAACACCTAACAGCCTTGCTTTCTTCCCCTTGATATAAGTTCATTGTTCTTCCGACTGAACCAAGATACACTAACTGATTAGATCGTATTTTCAAAAAGTTGAACGTGTAAGTGGTATTCAGAACATCTAGCTCACGTGTTAGCTAACCCTGAAGACGAGATGTTGGAAAATAAAAAGTCGAGGACATATGGAATTAGCTGTGAGGACTGTGACCAAAATACATTGGTCAGACTAAGCGACTCATTAGGACTCGTTTCAAAGAACACGCAGCACAAATCCGATTTTGAAGATCAGGAAAATCCGGTGTCACTCAACACGCCTAGGAAAACCGCCATGGAGTAAATGAACTTCATCTGAAATTGTTGGGATCGATACATAACACAAGACTTTTAGATGCTTCCGAAAGTCTGGAAACAGGAGAGTGTGGCATGAGAACTATGAACAGTAACCAAGGTCTCATTCCAAAGAGCCCACTGTATTCCTTTTTTTTGAATCACTCAGTTTTGCGGAAAATGAAAGTGTGATGTGTTGATATAAGTTGAGAATTTGAGAGTTGTCTGTATCTCCTGAGGACGCCAACTCGGTTAATGAAACGCGCGTCGAGAAGAGTATTGCATTTCTGCAACTTTACTAATCGGTAGAGGATTCAAATTTATTAGAATGAGTGATTGGGAAAAGTGCTTCTTTTGAATTTATTCTTCGTCAGAGATTCCAGTTTAACTTTCAATCTAATATGAAGAGAAGAAATGTACATTACAGCCATTCACTTGTCAGTACACACCCGTATACCAAGCAGACGTGTATGCAATTCTGCAATTCGCAAGAGATATCAGTTTGAGGCTCATCGAAGCTCAACGGATGAATATTATAATAGAGAGAAAGTAACATGGATACTGGTTTGGGAGTGGGGAACCGAAGAAGTGAAGGAGCTGACAAACATATTTTGACTCTAGGGTGGGTGCCAAGACACTCAGGAAACGAAGACGACAAAAAAGTTGATGAATGTATTGAACACGGATCCTCAACTACATACATCGGTTCTGAACCAGGTGAGACAGTACCAAAATATATGGTGCTGAACCAGATCAGGAGATGAGTCACTAGGTATCTCAGAGAGTACTGGGAAAATGAGCATGTCTCATCATTCCAATTGGATTCTAGGACATCAACTGCGGATGCACATCTTCATCGGCAGCAGGAGGTTGCATTTCTCAATGAGAAACTACAGGTGATTTCGAATTAGGGTGGAAGTAACCAGGTTCAATTCAATGTCACAAAAACTCAGGCATCTATTTTCTGCAAAAAAATAAATGTTTTCGAACCGAATATAATAATGTCAGGACGCTTTCTACTTAGATGTGTTTGTTGAGGGTTGAAGTGGACACCAATGTGCATTGGCACAATCATGTCGCTGAAACTACAAAGGCCACTTCTCAAAAGCTTGGAACACTGTTCCGAACCAGAAACTGTACACACCTCAGCAAGTTTTGATGCTGTATGGAGCTCAGATCAGACCTCCTTTAGATATTGTTCAAATGTATGGAGCTCCGCTCCTAAGCATACACAGAAGCTGCTGGATTCCATCCAGAAAAGAGCCATTCGCCTGATTGGAGACACGAGTACCACTTGCAACCTTGATAGTCTGGAACATCGATGAAAGGTTGGATATTTGTCTCTCCTTTATAGAGACTTCAATGAAAGGTGTTCAAGTCACTTGGCACATTTGATTTCAGCGGTACAAATCAGAAATACGCAACAGACTGTAGCTGCTCTTCATTTTTTGGTTCAACTCAGTACACCTCGAACTTCACTGTTTTGAAATAACGAATTGTCGTGAGTATTCTATATTCATAAACTGCTTTTAAAGTTCAGCAGAACTTTCTTCGTAAAAAGTCTTCAAATTATATATTTGTTTTCAATTATCACAAACGAATAAAAACGTACATTTTGATATGGAACTATATTGAGAACATTATACTATGTAGGCATAATATAAGTAACTTTTTATAATTTCCTGTAACTGATCAGCAATATTTCTCATAAATCCTATGATAGTAACTACTGATCACCTAGCAAAAAAAAATTTATAATTTTTCAGAAAGATCGACGGCAAAACCAACTGGTGAGTAAATTATCAACACTCAATTCCGAACCTCATATAATTTTTGTTGACTAGTTTCAACACATACTGAATTGACTCAATGTAAGTTAGGTTAGGTTTGAGTTGGGTAGAGTTAGGCTCGACTCTGCCGAACTCTAAAAACCTGATTTGGTCCCCAGAGGGCAGGCACAAAGTATGTGCTCTGCTGTTTCATCATTTTCCAAACAGAGGCAAAACACACTGTCTTCCGACAGTCCAACTCACTGCATATGATGATTCAAATGACAGTGACCTGTGAGAAGGCCTGTTAGACATCTTAGTTCATCCTTACCGTAGTCCAACAACTGTTTGGTATCAAGCTTCGAAGGGTGAATTAACGCCTTGGAGTGAGCCAAAACTGGAAGATTCTGCCAGTCCATAAATCCATAAATCCATAAAAAGTCCATAAATCTTCTTGCCATCCAGGTTGTCAATCTTTGTTTGGCAAAGCAAAAAGCGTTGCCAGTGACAGTTTCTGGTCTGATGAAGCTGCTTGCAGCACCCTCGTTTGCAGGGTAGTCAGCAGTATCATTGTCTTTCAGGCCAGTATGGCCAGGAATCCAGACCAAAGACAATCTGTTAAGTCTCCCTATCAAGGAGAGTCGTTTTTGGCAAATTGCTAACAATACAGACGTTGCTTGGTAGGAGCCAAGAGCTTCCAACGCCGCTTGACTGTCCGAGAATATTTTTATTGACTTGTGAATGAGGTTAGCTTGTTGAAAATCTCTCCGCACACAATTCAGTAGCGTAAATTTCCGCTTGAAATGCAGTCGCATAGGTTCCTAGGCAGGTTACTGAAATGACTTAACGGCATGTCCATTCGCATTCACTCTATTTCAGTTCCAACTCCTGCTACAACGGTAACAACTCCTAAAACAACTACAACTACCGGTAAGTATGAGCTAATACTTCATTTTCTTTATATGATGAATCAACGTTGTCTTCAGTTATTCCACATCCAGATCAGGATTGTCCAGCAAGTGGCTCGAAACAAATCATGTATCCTGCAGACTGCAGCAAATATTATCAATGTGAAAATGGAATCAAGGAATTGAAAGATTGCCCCGAAAGCTTGTTTTTCAACATTAATAATGGATTATGTGATTTCATCTATCAGTTTACAAACAGCGGCGAAACACACTGTCTTCCGACAGTCCAACTCACTGCATATGATGATTCAAATGACAGTGACCTGTAAGAAGGCCTGCTAGACATCGTAGTTCGTCCCTATCGTAGTTCAACAACTCTTTGGTATCAAGCTTCGAAGGGTGAATAAACGCCTTGGAGTGAGCCAGTACTAGAAGATTCTGCCAGAAGTCCATAAATCTTCTTGCCTTCCAGATTGTCAATCTTTGTTTGGCGAAGCTTAAAGCGTTGCAAGTGACAGTTTCTGGTCTGATGAAGCTGCTTGCAGCACCCTCCTTTGCAGGGAAGTCAGAAGTATCATTGTCTTCCAGGCCAGTATGGCCAGGAATCCAGACCAAAGACAATCTGTTAAGTCTCCCTATCAAGGAGAATCGTTTTTGGCAAATTGCTACCAATTCAGACGTTGTTCGGTAGGAGCCAAGAGCTTCCAAAGCCGCTTGACTGTCCAAAAATATTTTTTGACTTGTGATTGAGGTTAGCTTCTTAAAAATCACTCCGCATACAATTCAATATCGTAAATTTCCGCTTGAAATACAGTCGCATAGGTTCCTAGGCAGGTTACTGGAATGACTAAATGGCATGTCCATTCTCATTCACTCTATTTCAGTTCCAACTCCTGCTACAACGGTAACAACTCCTGAAACAACTACAACTACCGGTAAGTATGAGCTTATACTTCATTTTCTATATACGATGAATCAACGTTGTCTTCAGTTAATCCACATCCAGATCAGGATTGTCCAGCAAGTGGCTCGAAACAAATCATGTATCCTGCAGACTGCAGCAAATATTATCAATGTGAGAATGGGATCAAGGAATTGAAAGATTGCCCCGAAAGCTTGTTTTTCAACATTAATAATGGATTATGTGATTTCATCGATCAAACCAATTGTCGTGAGTATTCTATATTCATTAAGTGATTTGAAAGTTTTTTCGTTCAGCAGAACTTTTTTCGGAAAAAGCCTTCAAATCAGATAATTCTTCCCCAATAATCATGAACGAACAAAATAGTACATTTTGAAATAGAACTATAGGTATTGAGAACATGTTTCTATGTAGCCATAATATGAGTGTCATAAGTTGTATTTAAGTAACATTTAATAGTTCCTCGAAACTAGTGACATTGTGATAGATATTTTTACTGAATGTCATAATCATATGCGTTATTAGAACTACCTCGTACCTGTATGTTTATATGAATTAAAATCAATCAACAATATTTCTCATAAGTCCTATGATAGTGACTACTGATCACCAAGCAATATAAATTTCATTATTTTTCAGAAGGACCGACGGCAAAACCAACTGGTGAGTAAATTATCAACACTCGATTCCGAACCTCATATACATTTTTGTTGACTACTTTTAACACATACTGAAATGACTTAGTTCAAGTTAGGTTAGATCCAAACTGTGGGTCTATTTGACCCTCCACCGCAACCTGCACAGGTTTATTGTGGCTCACACCTATACACACTCGAGCAGATAAACCCAGCTTCTCAACAAAGTCGATTAGTTTGTATGGTGAGTGGTTTTTCAGCTCTGCGAACTCTAAAAACCTGATTTGGTCCCCAGCGGGGCAGACACAAAGTATGTGCTCTGCTGTTTCATCAGTTTACAAACAGCGGCGAAACACACTGTCTTCCGACAGTCCAACTCACTGCATATGATGATTCAAATGACAGTGACCTGTAAGAAGGCCTGTTAGACATCGTAGTTCATCCCTATCGTAGTTCAACAACTGTTTGGTATCAAGCTTCGAAGGGTGAATAAACGCCAATGCTAGAAGATTTTGCCAGAAGTCTATAAATCTTCTGGCCATACAGGTTGTTAATATTTGTTTGACGAAGCATGAAGCGATGCCAATTACAAGTTCTGGTCTGATGAAGCTGCTTGCAGCACCCTTCTTTGCAGGGGTGTCAGCAGTATCATTGTCTTCCAGGCCAGTATGGCCAGGAATCTAGACCAGAGACAATCTGTTGAGTCTCCCTATCGAGGAGAGTCGTTTTTGGCAATTTGCTACCAATTTAGACGTTGCTTGGTAGGAGCCAAGAGCTTCCAACGCCGCTTGACTGTCCGAGAATATTTTTATTGACTTGTGTATGAGGTTAGCTTCTTGAAAATCTCTCCGCACACAGTTCAATAGCGTAAATTTCCGCTTGAAATACAGTCGCATAGGTTCCTAGGCAGGTTATTGAAATGACTTAACGGCGTGTCCATTCTCATTCTCTCTATTTCAGTTCCAACTCCTGCTACATCGGTAACAACTCCTAAAACAACTACAACTACCGGTAAGTACGAGCTAATACTTCATTTTCAATACATGATGAATCAACTTTTTCTTCAGTTAATCCACATCCAGATCAGGATTGTCCAGCGAGTGGATCGAAACAAATCATATATCCTGGAGACTGCAGCAAATATTATCAATGTGAGAATGGGAACAAAGAATTGAAAGATTGCCCCGAAAGTTTATTTTTCAATTTCAATACTGGATTTTGTGATTTCATTGACCAAACAGATTGTCGTGAGTATTCTATATTCATAAGCTGATTTGAATGTTTCTCTTTGTTCAGCATATTTTTTTTTGGAGAAAGTCTTGAATCGGATAACTTTTCCCAATAATCACGAATGAACAACGAACGAATAGAAAAATTCATTTTGAAATGGAACTATATTGAATGCTACTATGTAGGCATAATATTGTCAATGGATTCGCCAAGTATACTCAGTTTCTGACGACAATATGCTTCATGAAAATTCTCATGAACCTGATGTAGATACATTAAACATCCTTGCCTTTTTTAGAATCGATTATATTACTGCTTCAAAACAATTAAAAAATAGACTCACTACAGGCGTTGACAATGTTCCTAATCTTGTGATAAAGGACCGTACCTATCGACGTTCTCTCTATACCTCTAACAGGCATATTCAACTTAATTTCAACAACTTGTGCCTTCCTTGAACAGTGGGAAACGACTTGAATTTGTCCGATATCAAAAAAATGTGACTCTAGCGATATCACAAACTACAGGGCAGTTTCAATTTTATGTAACTTTTCTGAACTTCGAGATATGTGTGCAAAATGTTATGTACTGCCATAATCAAAAAGTTATTTCTCCTACTCAGCATGGTTTCGTACAGCAAAGATCATGTATGACAAATCTTTCATGTATAAATCAAGATCTCAGTACGTACCTGGACAAGCAAAAACAAGTCGATGTTGTTCATTCAGACTTTCATAAAGCCTTCTGTCAAATAGACTATTTCTCAAAAAATTGACAAAATTGGGACTCTCTAACCAACTGTTCACTCTAATTGAATCATATCTAGTTAACATAAAACAATTCGTCGAATGTGAATCTTTCAAATCGGCTCAGTACGTAGTTACGTCTGGGGTACCCCAAGGTTCTAATCTTGGACCTCTTTTATTTTTAATTTCAATTAATTCAACCTCATTGAATATTCCCAGCCTACAATTTGCAGACAACCTGAAAATATATTATAAAATCGACGACATTATTGACTGTCAACGTGTAAACCTTGAATTAAATGTAATCAAACTTTGGTGTAACGATAATCGTCGAGAACTGAACGTATCCAAATATAAAATAATATCATTCACAACAAAAAAGCGAACTTTAATGTACGAATATTCAATCAACCGCGTACATGAGATAAAGGATCTTGGTATAACATATGACAGTAAATTAACATTTACAAAACATATGAGGAATATGACTGCTGATGCAAATAGGATGCTTGGAATCATTAACAGAAATGGCAAAAACTTCAAAAGTATCACCACCTTGAAATTGCTACGTATGCCAGATCTAAGTTAGAGTATGGTTCATTAATTGAGAGCGTGCAGGGGATGTTCTTAAAATACTTATATCTGAAAGTTAATAGACAATACCCCACGAAAGGCATCGATCATAACATTTTGTTGACACGATTTGATATGACATTCTTGGACTATAGGAGAGTTATCCTTGGTATGAAATTCCTGCATAAATTACTCAACAACAATATTTACAATACGGTTCTTTTACCTGAGATCAATTTCTTCACACGTAATGTTATCATTTGTTACAAAAGGTCTCCAGAAAGCCATATCTATTGTTGACAAATTATTTTGTATATTTAGGTATATAAACAGCTATTCCTTGTCTTTAGATTCAGTATCAATTTGCTTCTCCTGAAGATGCTAACCTTTTTAGCGAAACGCGCGTGGAGTGCAAAAATATCAGTTTGGTGTTAGGGTAATTGATCTCTAGAAAAAGTATTCAAAAATCGGTTTGCAAAACCACTCACTACCTCACCGAATCCCACGAACACACGGCACTGATAAAGAAATATTGTGAAACGACTAAAAATTAGTATTCAGCCAGTCCAGCTAGCCGAGCTTTTACTCCCCAACTACATTTGATAGCACGTTTACTAACTATCTGGGCGACTTGGGGCCACAGGCAAGAAATGTTTATGACTGTACTCATCTTTTTATTGCCGTTCCAATTGGGAATGGATAGACTATACAACATTGTTATCCTTTACAGTTGCAAATTTTAGTTTTGCTCCAGGAACATTTTCTTCTGTTAAAAACATTCTTTTTTAATTGTACTTTACCATATGTTTATATGAGGATTAGGCAGTATTTGTCCCTACCGAACTACTAGCGCTGCTAGTGAGTGATTTTTCGTACTTCAGGAAAAAGGTTCATTTATGAGATTTATTTAAATTGCAAAATTATAAAGTCCTAAAGAATTTTAGAATGAGGTTGTATGATACAAACTGTTCTTTATAATCTGGAAGTGTTCAAACACAATTAATACACAATTATACATTTAATTTATAGAAACTTCTGTAATCTAACAGTCATGTGTAAGATATAAGATGTGAGATATGAATTATATTGAAAAAATTGGTATCAGGAATTTCACATATCGAGAATCTGTCGTATCTTGAAGTGAAACAATTGTGAATTACATCTGGTTTCTTTCACAATTTGATAAATTGTTCAGTTATTGAACAAATGATTTTCATATATTTCATTGTAAATATTTCAATGCTCCTGAAGTCGACATTTGCCTCCTCACATCAAGTTAAATTTTATGCGGTTTTATATATACAATTAGATTTGTCTGTGAACTACTTTGATATTATCGTTATTTATACAATTGAAATGTATTGTTTCGTTTGTCGCCGTGAGTTGACCAATAATTGACTACACTGAATAATCAATCTCAACTTTATTTCACTTTAAATGCAACAAACATTTCAACTGAATCTTCAAATATTATTTGACTGTCTATCGCCTTACTGGATCACTTCGCGTACCGCACTGTAGCTTTCTCTTGACTGTCTCGATATCCTCGAGACTAGCCTTAAAAATCGTAATCGAATGTCGTAGAAATTTCTTCGAAGTTCTGTCAAAGTCGATAGCATTATTCTCGCTGCTTCTCGAGTGGCGGGGAATCATCGTGCATTCGCGCGCTCTCAGCTACGTCATGTTTGGTTTATGGTTACCAGTGGCGGCCGGCGTTATTTTCTTTCAGGCATTAATGACTGAAACTACACGAATTCGCGTTTTAGTACTTGAAATTTGATACGGAGACAAAAGTGGTAACAGCATTATGTTTCATTTTCAATGACGCTAATGAATTATATCAATGAGTACGTTAGATATCCTGAAGTAGTATTTACTCAGTTTTATTTCTCACTTCTGAAGTACGTACCGAAAAAAAGGCTATCGAAACTGATTTTTCTGTGGAGGAGAATAACAGAAATTTACAAATGATATTCATTATTTTTCAGAAGGACATACGGTGAAACCAACAGGTAAGACAAATTTCAATATGATATCTGATGTATTTGCGGAAAAAACTCGATGCTGAGAGTATCAATGTTTCATAAAATCATTTAAAAAAAAATCGATAAGTGCTACAACATTCCTTCAATTGAATACATTTGATTCCAGTGTCAACTTCTGCTACAACGGTCACGACTTCCAAAACTACCACAACTACTCGTGAGTATGACTTAATATATCATTATGAACTAACTCATGGTGAATGAACTGTTTCATCAGTCAATCCAAATCCCGATCAGGATTGTCCAGCAAGTGGTTCGAAACAAATCGTATATCCTGGTGACTGCAGCAAATATTATCAATGTGAAAATGGGCATAAGGAACTGAAAGATTGTCCCGAAAGCTTGTTTTTCAATGTTAATAATGGTTTATGTGATTTTATTGACCAAACAAATTGTCGTAAGTATTCCATATTTTATATTCTTGAACTGTGTAGAAATATTCCTCGTTATATTCGCTTCAGTACTCATAAAATATTTTATAATCATTTTCTTTCCCATTACCTAATGTCAAAGTTGAATTCGATTGCCTTTCAATTTAGAAATTTGCGGCATCAATATCGATCACTTAATACAGCTCTTCTAAGCAAAGTTGAGAGTAGGCTACGATACGGTGTGATATTTTGGGGTTTATCTACCCTAGCAAATGTATTCCATTAGGAAAATTCAAAATAACTCACCAATCTTCCAGTCATATGGCTCCTAGAATATACAATGCAGTTCCTTTAAACGTGAGAAACTGCTTGACAAAACAATTATTCAAACATAATTTAAAATCCTTTTTGACAGAACAGTGTTTTCATAAACTAGATGGATATTTGTCGTGACACTTTACGGTGAAACCAATTTTTAGAATAATTGTATTTCAAATATAAGCAACTTTTCCAAATGGTTTGTAACTGTCTTAAGGAAATAAATGACTATTATTATTATTATTTCCATGATTATGAAAAAATTTAACATTTCAACATTGGACTCTTCCATGAACATGCAATTATGTGAATAAAATACCTACCTAAGTGTTTTATGACGTGTTCAAACTACTATCTGTTGTTTGGTTTACTTTCAACTGATGACATAAGTAAATATATCTTCCAATTTCCATCATCAACTGCGTTTGCTTTTGCACAATTGATTGCAGTGAAAGCGAGCAACCATATTTTTTATATATCCTAAGATAGCGGTTGCTGACTATCACACAGTATTTTTTTATCAGCAAACCACCCTACCAATATTTCACCACAACAGTAGATTTGACAGGAAGATTTTTTATGGAATTTTTTATTGGAGAAGACAAACAAAAAATTAACAGTCAACTCTCATTATTTTTCAGAAGGACCAACGGCAAAACCAACTGGTAAGTAAAAGAAATGCAAATGAAAATCAGCCTATTTTGAAACGAATGAAGATTTATGTTCATCAGTTTCAACACATAGACATGATTTCACAGCGTTCTAATATACTTTATTTTAGTTCCAACCCCTGCTACAACTGTAAGCACTCCTAAAACTTCTAAAACTACCGGTAAGTGTGAGCTAATAATTAATTATCAATATATGATGAATCAACTCTTTGGTCAGTTAATCCACATCCAGATCAGGATTGTCCAGCTAGTGGATCGAAACAAATTATGTATCCTGCAGACTGCAGCAAATATTATCAATGTACGAATGGAATCAAGGAATTGAAAGATTGCCCCGAGAGCTTGTTTTTCAATTTCAATACTGGATTGTGTGATTTCATCGACCAAACAAATTGTCGTGAGTATTCTATATTCATAAGCTGATTTGAAAGTTTCTCTTTCTTCAGCAGAACTTTCCGAAAAACTTTTCAAATTAGGTATTTTTTTCATAATCACAAACGAACAGAAAAGTACCAAGTACGTTTTGAAATAGAATTATATTGAGAACATTCTATCATGTAGGCATAATATGAGTTTCACACATCGTATTCAAGTCATTTTTTGTGGTTTCTTGAAACTAATGACATTTTCTACTGGATGTCGTAATCATATGCATTGATAATCATTTTCAAACATATATGTATGTAAGTAGTTATCTTACCACTGTACTGGATACAGTCCATCCAGTTCTCTGAAGTCCATCGAGTTCTCTCAACCCTTAGGTGTAAAAGTGACATTGGTACGTAAAGAGTTGTCAAAAAGGCCTAAAGTTACCACTTTGAACAAGGGAATGACGTAAGTTCTTGTACACCCTCGTTGGTTCTTGTAGAGGATATCAGCAATGACCAGAAGGGTGTTGTCGTCGACGTCTTCGTCAAAGAAAAATGTCAGAAGGTCCTTAATATACTCTGAGGGTTGAGAGAGAGAAATCAATGGAATGACGCAACTTCTTGAGCAACCCTGCTGGTTTTGATTGTCAATGACCAGAATGGGTTGAAGAAGAGGTGTCAGAAGGGCCTTAATTTAGTAGGTAACCCCTTTCGGGTGTGCAGAGGGTGTTTTTTTTTTGTTAGAGAAGTGGTTCGATGGAGCCCAGCCTAGCCACGCCTCGCCCACATGATATTGCATTCGGTAGTTTATTGGAAATTGTGACCTTTGGGGTCTCAATTTGTTTACATTAATAGGTAATTTTGGTTCATTTTACTGATAATGAACTATTTTTTTCACAATTTACTGATATGGCTATATCACGTACAAGGAACATCCTTTCGGCGATTCTCCTTCTGTGATGCCGTTGTTCATTCACTTCTTTTTATATTCAAGAATTAGGTATACCTTCCATCTATATTGAGTGAATAAACATTATTATTATCATTGTTATTATTGGGGTGGTCGATGTTTTCTTTTGGTTCAAGTTTGGTTAGGTCGGGAGTGGGTAAGGCTTCAGTTCATTTCCAGGCTGTTTGCTGTCCACTATTTGATTGCCAGTAGGTACTCCTAGGATGTCCTGGATCTGCTCCGTCTGGTCTTCCATTGCTCCCAGAAGTCTGGTTGGGGACAACGTGAACTTCTTCCTTGGTATTCTTCTGGGAATTCCACGAGGCGTCCAGGGTATTTTCAGTGTGTTGATAGCTGCGATGTTGTTGCTGATCATTGTTCTCTTGGCGTATCTGCCTTGGAGTTTCTGAAATCTTAAGTTGATCGGAATGATATTTATTGTGTTGTATATTCTCGTCTCTCGGTTGTTAGGATATAGTGGAATTGTGTCAGGGAGAGTGTACAGTGGATCGTTGCTTTATAATCCAGGATTGGTCTTATGAAAATTTGGTATGTGTGCAATAGCGTCTCAATGTGGAAGTAACTCCCAAGTAGTTCACCAATTCTTGAAGTTGATGGTTCAAGTTATCAGGACTAAGTTCAGGGCTGTGTAATATCCTGAAGAGTATTATTTTGGTGGGATTGAATTCGATGCGCCACTTATTGCACCATTGCTTGAAGTGGTCGATCATAATTTGGGATTGGATTTGAAGGCTTCGGGTATTAGGGGCGGAGGAGTATAGGATTGGGTCATCAGCGTACTGGAGGATTCTTTGGATGGTGAGGGCATCGTGAACGTATATTAGAAATAGGGAAGAAGCTAGGACTGGGCCCTGGGGTACTCCGTATTTGTAGGTAAGGGGAGAAAATAGGACATGGCCGACTGTAACGCGTTGGATGTTTTCTTTTCATGTAATTGAATTGTTCTGCAACAATGTAATGGAATTTTGAGAATTCATCACTTACACTTCCAAGCAAAATTGTTTAAGTTTTTTTTATCAGAAACATCAAAGAACTAATTCAGGAAACAATTATAGACAAACTATGTCCCTACTACAAAAAGAACAATCTGTCCCTCCTGAAAGTGTCAAATTTCCTTTAAGATGTTGTTTTGATAAAACGAAAAATACTTCAAAATCTAACAATATAATCAATTTAATTCACTCTTCCACTAAACATATAAGAAATAGTTGCTTTGAGTTTCATTTTATATTTTTATTCACCATGCAACTCAATATTGAAACTGTCGAGTACGTTTATGATCTCTAATACCAGAAACAACTGCTAGGTAGCTCTTTGGGAACAATGCGAAAACAATTGTAATTGCTGCTCTAGTTTCGAGCAAAGTCGTTTACAAGCGTCACTTTTGATAGTAACGAGCACAGGGAATATTTGAGCGTGACATACCAATTATCCTTTCATTATATCAATTCGTTTATTTTCCCTCGAACGCAATATCAATGTAAATTGCAGGGACTAGATTCCGAGAATTGGTAGTGGGGTCGGAAAGCACGATTGTGAAATCTAAAAACAATTTATAGATTTGGGAAGCTGAATACACTTATTGAATGAATGAATCGAAGAAGTTTTTGTATGAAAGTGTATAATTATAAAATTATTGCAAAGCGCTTTCGACTTTCGTCATCATCAGTGCTCACCTGAAAGTAAGTGATCTATTTGAAAAGGAAGTTGCAAAAAAATTTTCAAGGTTAAAAAATTTGGAAAATTGTTTGAGATTACTTACTTGTCATGCAACGGGAAGTATCAAAATAAGTACATGGCACATTTGTAATATTTGAATTATATTAAACAAAATAGGCTTGTAGCCAGGAAATACATTTTTGGATTGAGGCCATGTGGTTCAGTCAAAGTTTTATATGAAGAAGGACAACTTGAGACAGGATGTGTCAAGTGTCATATTAAAATAATAGTATCAACTTGAGGAGTGATCCATTATGGATTTAAAATAATTATGTTATGGAGAAGCCAATATAGAATAAAATATATTAGTAAAAATAATGGTACCAACTTGAGGAGTGATCCATTATGGATTTAAAATAATTATGTTATGGAGAAGCCAATATAGAATAAAATATATTAGTAATAAATTTGATTGATTAATAATTCATAATCCTTTTATGAAGGGGAAGGACATCTCTGTTTAAGTTTACTTGAGTACTCAAACAATGATCATTATTGGAAAGTTCTTTGGAAATCTCCAATTCTCCAAACAAGTCAAGTGGTCATAATCGGAATAATGACATTCGTGTCGAATTGATAACCTATTTGTTTGAAGTCGTGAAGAAAAAAATGAAACGACAACCCACGAAAATGCACGCCACTGTTTCAAGTTTGGTTTAATTATGAGATTTGTTGGAGCGGTAATTCATCGGTAATTGCCTTCGGATGAAATCTGAGCGGGTCTTATTCCTTCGATGAGCCGCCATCATCTTGTTTGCTCACCAAAATTGCTGCATTCTGCTGCTCAATGTTCCATTGTGATGTTAAATGTTTGCTTTGCGATATTAAGACGTTAGCGTTCCCATTAATTGTTCAGGAAGCTAAGTTTCGTTCGGAATTAATTCGGCGTTTAACGGCTTGTATAAATTATACGAGGACTAGCGAGGCGACTTAGTTGAATAGAGATTGATGGTGTATTTGTAATTTGGAAAAAGTTTAATGACATTTTGGTCGCCATATGACGTATCTCAAATTTTCACTCAAGGTTATCTTCAAAAGCAAGGGACTACTAGTTGAAAAGAAACTTGAAATCGACAATTTTCATATATATTTATATTGAGAAGAGATAGGAATAGTTTATTCTTTTTAAGGTTGTTCCAAAAATGTTGTACGTTTTAATGGCATGTGTTTTTGTAGCTCCTTATCTCAATAAATATTTATTCTTTGTCCAGTCATTTGAGGTCGATTTAGGCCTGTATTTCGGAAAGTTGACATAACCAGCTGTAAATTTGTATAAACTTTGTATTATGGCATCATTAAAGTATTCTCAAAATTCACATATCATTCGATGGCCACTACTTCAAAAATTGGGGGTCAAAAGTATAAAAAAAAACACTTTTTGCACCTTTTTTGCCAATATTTCATTTCCAATGGTATTTATGCTAATTGTTGTATGTATCAATATTGTAGAGAATTAAATTCTTCACAACTTTTGTATCAAACATTTTTTCATACGTTNTACCACGGGAATTAATGAGCCTTAATAACCTCAGGCAATTGCTGTCCCTCGGGCCAGAGGCCCTCGGGACGCAAACTTTGCCATCGGTAATTAAGGCCCTCCTAATTCCCTTGATACATAAATAACTATTTTAGGTTGTTCCAAAAATGTTGTACGTTTTAATGGCATGTGTTTTTGTAGCTCCTTATCTCAATAAATATTTATTCTTTGTCCAGTCATTTGAGGTCGATTTAGGCCTGTATTTCGGAAAGTTGACATAACCAGCTGTAAATTTGTATAAACTTTGTATTATGGCATCATTAAAGTATTCTCAAAATTCACATATCATTCGATGGCCACTACTTCAAAAATTGGGGGTCAAAAGTATAAAAAAAAACACTTTTTGCACCTTTTTTGCCAATATTTCATTTCCAATGGTATTTATGCTAATTGTTGTATGTATCAATATTGTAGAGAATTAAATTCTTCACAACTTTTGTATCAAACATTTTTTCATACGTTGAATCGTTTTTGAGATAATGGACAGCGCGAGCGCAGATTAAATATTATTTGAAATCAACTGATTGTCCCGATCGAAATCAGCTCATTTAAGGTTTATAAATTATTAGGTACTCACTTATGATGCACATTACTGAATATTACTGAAGTTTTTTCCCAACACCAAATTTTAACACTTCGACACGTGTTTCGATCACCAAGTGATCATCTTCAAAGAGGAAGATTACAACTCAATTCTTTAAAGTTCTTTCTTTCTTCAAAATTCTTCAATTCATTAAAGTTTAAATCTTCCTCTTTGAAGATGATCACTTGGTGATGAAAACACGTGTCGAGGTGTTAAAAATAACGATTTGGTGTTGTGAAAAAACTCTAACAAATTATTACT